CGCGGCCTTCCGGGGCGGGGGCGGGGCGAGGCCAGCGGGTCCGAGCGTCCCGAACCGTCGAGCCGGGCCTCCGCGTCGCCGCTGCCCCGCCACGGGCCTCACCTCCCTGCGCACGTTCAGCAGCGAGTAATAGTCTTCATTGTCCAGCTCCTCCTCGCTCAAGGCCGTCGCCATCTTCGCAACCTTTCACCCCGCCAAACCGGCGAGGCCGTACTCAGGAGGGTCCTCGGCGTCCGCAGCGCGGCGCCCCGCGGCACCACAGCGGCCCCTGGCGGCCTGGAGCCACACGGCAGCCCGCTGGAGCGCGCCTGCGCACTGCGCCCCTGCTGGCCAGGGCGGGGCCTGAGGCTGCTGGGACTGTACGTTTGCTCCCCGCCCAAGCTCCCCGTCGGTGCTCCGCCCTGGTGCTCCCCGCCCATGCTCTCCGTGGGTGCTCCCCATTCGTGTTCCTTGCTAGTGCTCCGCGCTAGTGGTCCTCATTCATGCTCCTGTTCATACTCCCCATCGATGCTCCCCACGTGCTCTGCGCTGGTGCTCCCCGCCGGTTTCCCCTCCAGGTCTCTCCGCTTGTGCTCCCCATCTGTGCTCCCTGCCCATGCTTTCTGCCAGTGCTCCCCTCTCCTGTTCCCCTCTTGTGCTCCCCACCCGTACTCCCTGTCGGTGCTCCCCACCTGTGCTCCCCCCTCATCTCCTTGCTTCTTGCTCGCCACTGGGCTCCCTGCTGGTGCTGCCCTCTTGTACTCCCCTCCTGTGCTTCCCATCCGTGCTCCCCTCTCGTTCTCTCCTCTTGTGCTCCCCGGTCGTGCTCCCCATTCGTGCTCCTTGCCTGTGCTCCCTGCCGTGTGCATGCACGCTGGGCCCGGGCATCCAGGAGGGCCACCCTAGCCCTGTTCCCTGGACTCGGAAGGGAGGCTTTAAAGCCACACTTTCGAGTGATACCCTCTTGGGCCCTGGGGAGACGGTCCCGCGTGTCCGGAACCCGGGGAGGAGCTGGAGCGGCCCTGACGCAGCGCCCCCCCCCCCCAGCCCGTGTGGCTACGTCCCCGTGGGAGGCTGTGGTGGCCCCACTTGCTGACACGCCCCTTCTGCTCTTGGTCCCCCAGAAGCCTTCCTGGCCAGAAAATGGGCGTCCTTATTTTATTTTATTTTTTGAATTATTACTCCATATTGTGCTGACTTTTCTGCCTCGTAAACGAAGAGGCAATATCCATTTGGTTCCTAATATAATTGTGTCTGGCGGGTGTCTATAACCTGTGGTTCCGACCCCCGAGTCATTCTGCTGTAAATTTCTCCGTTGTAATTTAGCAGTGGAGTCTAATTGATTTCAACCTGGTGCCTGCCGTTTGGTGCATTATTAAAGATGTCTTGGTTACAATAACCTAAATTTAAATGTCTTTTCAGAGGACGTGATCAAGAGAAGGTGGGCAGCGGCATCCGCTCTTCCACCTGTTGGTTCTCGCCGACCTACACCACCAGCTCATCTTTCCTCTGGAACCTTTGTTGTTCCTTAACTAACCATCAGTTCACAGCCCTCCGATTGCCCTTCATAAGCAGGTCTCCTGGGAAGCCCCAACACCTGTCTGTGGATTTGAGAGGTTGATTTCTTTCTCTTTCTAATTTTTGGCCAGATGTGCACCATCTGGGCCTGTATATTGTTCTTCCAAGTTGCCCACTCCTCTTAGGATCTTTTGGCAGCAGACACCTAGGTGCTGGGAGTCAGTCTTCAGCAGGCTGTCAGCCCATGTTGTTAATTAAGAGGTTTTTTTTTTTTAAAGCTCTTTGAGGCTTCCTCATAATAACATCCACAGTCACTCGTGATCCATCAGCTCTTCCCACAATTTTTATAGGCTTTTTTTTTTCCCTTTCTCCTTTGCAGAGCTGTGATTAGGACTTAACTGCGTGCTGACATGTGCTGGTCTTTGAGAATTTCATGCAGAGAAGCTGGGGAGAAAAAAGCTGCGATGTTGAAACATTTCTCTCTTTTTGGTTTATAGGCATTAACTGGGCTGTAATGCTCAGTTCAGCAGAGGAGTTCTCTGCCTTTGCTCCTCTGCTTTGGCAAACACAGCTTCTAGAAGTTACATAAATGGAACATAACATATGTTTCACTACACCCAGGTCTGTGTTTCTCTGATTGAGAATGACCTGGTTTTTATCACCACTCAGACAAAATAAATAATGACTCAGGGATGTTCTGTGCCTGTCCTCTCTCCGGCCCACGATATTTTGTATTATGGCTGCTTGGAAAGTGGCTGTGATAAATGGAGAGCTAACTTCCATATACCACAGGCCTGGGGAATGTATTTATTTCAGAGGTTAGTGCTTTCCTTTCTGTTCTCCAAAAACCCAGATCCATGATGGGCAAAATAATAAAAACCAAGCGCTGTACAAATTTATAAGTTAAAAACACACATCCAACACACTTCTTGCGCCAGACCGACTGACAAAAGTCACTTTCACTCAGGACCTGGCACTTGGGTTTCCTTATTTTGTGTAAAGCCTTCAAGCAATCTTTAGGGGTAAATCAAAACCCAACACACTTTTGTAATACATTTTTGTGAGTACAGATACATGTGTTTATTTTATATATTCACACATATGTTATGAGCTTATTATAGAACATATATAATGCATCTGTTGTTGAATTCTCTCATTTCTATTATTTTTTTTAATTTGAACTTAATTTCTTTTGAAACAGAGTCTCCCTGTAGTCACAGCTCACCTGAAACTCACTACGTAGACCAGGCTGGCCTCCATCTCACAGAGATCTGCCTGCCTCTGCCTCCCAAGTACTGGGATTAAAGGTGAATGCTACCATGCCTGGGTTTATTTAATCTTTTTGAGACAGGGTCTCACTCTGCAGCCCTGGCTAGACTGAACGCCCTATGTAGACTAGGCTGGCCTCAAACTCACAGAGAACTGCCTACTCCTGCCTCCTGAGTGTTGGGATTAAAGGAATGCAACGTCTTATACAGCTTTACACTTTTTTGAGATAGGGTCTTACATAACGCAGGCTAGCTTTGAATACGCTACGTAGCAGAAGATGACCTTGAACTCCCGATCTTCTTGCCTTAAGAGTCCATTGTGTACCACCCGGCTCCACTTCTCATTTTCAAATAGTAAATCTAAGGGCCCTTCCCCTTTTCACTCATATTCACAATGACCCTAAAATGTCTTGGCTCCCTGCACAGCTGCTCTCTGGAGGTACTAGGGGAATTTCCTTTGTTTATGACCGAATCCTACTTTTGTTATTTATTATTTTTATTTTATGTGTATTTTATGTGTATTATTTATGTGTATTGCCTGCATGTGTGTAAGTGCACCCGTGTCATGAAATGCCCACAGAGGTCAGAAAAGGGCGTCGGATCCCCTGGAACTGGAGTTATGGACAGTTGTTAGCTGCCATGTGGGTGCTGGGAATTGAACCCAGGTCCTCTATAAGAGGAGCCAGTGCTCTTAACTGCTGAGCTGTCTCTCCAGCCCCCTAATCCCATTTTGAGATCCTCCCTTCTCCCTTATTTTGGAGACAGGGCTGCCCAGATTAAGCACAGGATGTCTACTTATATTATATTTCAGATATGCAATAATTATTAGGTTGGCGTGTATTTGCATTTGTTGTTTTCCTCATTGCAATAAAATACCAAAGCAATTTAAGGGAGAAAACGCTTATTTTGGCACACAGTTCCAGGGTGAAGTCCATCATGGCAAGCAAGGTCATAACAGCAGGAACCTGAAGAGGCAGTGGGTCACATGGCATTCATCATCCAGAAGCAGAGAGTGGCCCAGCAAGACAGCTCAGTGGGTAAAGGTGCTTGCTGCCAAGCCTGACACTTTGAGTTTGATCTCTGGAACCTACAAGATGGAAGGAGAGGGGCTGGAGAAATGGCTCAGCAGTTAAGAGCACTGAGTGCTCTTGCAGAAGACCAGGATTCGATTCCCAGCACCCACATGGTGGCTTACAACCATTGGTAATTCCAGTCCCAGGGGATCCAATGCCTTCTTCTGACTTCTGTGGTGGGCATTGCATGACACTGTGCACTTACATACATGCAGGGAATACACTCATACACATAAAATAAAAAATAATAAAAAAAATTTTTTTTTGGTCTTTTTGAGACAGGGTCTCCCGTAGCCCCAGCTGTCCTGGAACTCACTGTGTAGACCAGGCTGGCCTTGAACTCACAGAGATCCGCCTGCCTCTGCCTCCCGAGTGCTGGAATTAAAGGCGTGTTCCACCACGCCTGGCTTATCAAATATTTTTTAAAAGATGGAAGGAGAGAACCAACTCATGTAAGCTGTTTTCTGATTTCTATGTGCTTGGGCACACACATGCAAACATGTTTATGCACAAGATACATATATAAATATAAATTTAAAAATTTATTTATTTTTGGGCCAGGCTTGGTGGTGCACACCTTTAATCCCAGGCGGATCTCTGTGAGATGGAAGCCAGCCTGGTCTACATAGTGAGTTCCAGGCCAGCTGAGGCTACAGGGAGACCCTGTCTCAATAAAATAAAAAAAAATTTAATTTTTATTTTATGAATGTTTTGCCTGCATGCATGTAAGTGTACCATGTGCATGTAGTATCCGTGGCAGCCAGAAGAGAGCACCAGATCCCCTAGAACTGGAGTTACAGGGTGATTGTTAGCTGCCATGTTGGTGCTGGGAACTGAACCCTGGTCTTCTGTAAGAGTAGCCAGTGCTCTTAACTTCTGAGCCATCTCTCTAGCCCTAAATGTAAGTTAAAGAAGTAGTGATAAATACTGGTGCTCAGCTCACTTTCTCCTTTTTGTTCAGTCCAGACCACCAGCCCACAGAATAGCTCTGCCTTTGCTTAAGCTAGGCGTCCACACCTTAGTTAACCTAATCTAGGTAATCCCTCACAGCCAGCTCAGACACTAACCTAATCTCCCACAGGCTTGTCCAGAGACTTGTGTCCTGGGTGATTCTGGATCCTGTCAGGGGCCAGCAAGATGGATCTGTGGGTGAAGGCACTTGCCACCAAGCCTGCAATCTGAGTTTGAATCCTGGGATCTACACGGTGGAAGGAAAGAACCGACTCTTGCAAGTTGTCCTCTGACCTCCACACATGTACCATAACACATACATACCCACATACACACTCAGGCATACACAGACACACAGATGCACGTGCACACACACACACACACAAATGAATTAACGTAGATCCTGTCAAGTTGATATTAA